TTTTAGCTCTAAAATGGGCTATCACTGACAAATTCCACAACTACCTTAACGGCAACACCTTTACAGTAGTCACAGATAATAATCTGCTCAGGTACATACTAACCACTGCCAAGTTAGACGCTGCCAGCTATCGCTGGTTGGCTGAACTTTCCACTTTTACATTTGACATTACCTACCGAGCGGGCAAGCAGAATCTAGATGCCGATGCCCTGTCCAGACGGCCTCATGGAGAGCTCATCAATGACAGTCACTCTCAAGAGGAAAGTAAAAGAATCAATGACTTTACATCTCATCATCTCAGTCCAGAAAGCAACTACTGCTCTGCTGACGTTATTAAAGCAGCCGTCCAAAACCATTTCATAGCAGATGAAAGTACTGCAGAGCTTGCTCCCTGTCTTGTCGAGTCCCTCGCTATCCATCCTGAGGCAATCCCAATTGAGTTTGAGGAAGAGGAATTCCAAAATGGCTTCTTCACAGTTCCTAAACTTGGTGAAGGAGAGTTAGCAAGATTACAGAGGGCAGACCCTCTCATCAATAGATTTATGGAGTTGATTGAATCAGGACAACCTGTTCCGACCAAAGCAGAGCTGGAATCAACTGAGAGCCGATTGATGTTCAGAGAGATGAGTCGTTTCGAAATCAAAGAGGGGCTGTTGTACAGACAACGGCAATGTAACAATGGACCATACTTCCAACTTGTCTTGCCAAAACCACTGCGTTCTTTTGCTCTCACTAGTCTCCATGACGAAATGGGACATTTAGGTATCGAGCGTATCATTGACTTGGTCAGATCAAGATTCTACTGGCCGAGAATGGCCATGGATGTAGAAGAAAAGATCAAACATTGTGAGCGCTGTGTGCGAAGGAAAAGTCGACTAGATAAAGCCGCGCCTTTAGTAAATATCCAGACCAGCAGGCCCATGGAGTTAATCTGTATGGATTTTCTGTCCTTAGAGCTGGATAGTCATAACACCAAAGACATCCTAGTTATGACTGATCACTTTACCAAGTATGCCACCGCTATACCTACAAGAGATCAGAAAGCCAGCACGGTTGCCAAGTGCCTGTGGGACCAATTCCTCTGTCACTATGGGTTTCCAGAGCGTCTTCACAGTGATCAGGGGAGGGATTTTGAGTCCCAAATCATAAAAGAGCTCTGCGCTTTGGCCGGTTGCCGCAAAGTGAGGACCACTCCATACCATCCTAGAGGGAACCCAGTAGAACCATTTAACCGTACACTGCTGAGTATGCTGGGAACTCTTCAAGCTAAGGACAAGACCAGGTGGCGTGACTTCGTGAAACCCCTTACTCACGCATACAATTGCACAAAAATGATGTTACGGGGTATTCACCATATGAGCTCATGTTTAGACGTCAGCCAAGGTTGCCCATCGATATTGCATTTGGTTTACCTGTCAAAAATGGCTCACTTCCTTCTCACTCACAGTATATTAAGGGTTTGAAAGAGAAGTTGAAAGAGAGCTATCACATTGCCCTGGAAAATGCAAAGAAAGTAGCTACAAAGAACAAGCAAAGATTTGATGCCAAAGTGAGAGAGGCCACACTTGAAATGGGGGACAGAGTCCTTGTACGGAACCTCCGCCTCCGCAACAAGCACAAGTTAGCCGATCGCTGGGAACCAACAGTTTACATTGTACAGAAAAGAGCAGGAGACTTACCCGTCTATACGGTGTGTCCAGAAGGTCTCGATGGTCCCTTGCGAACATTACATCGTGACCTACTGTTACCTTGTGGTTTCCTGTCAGAAACCCCAAGAGGAACAACCAGAACCAAAACAGAAACCCAGAACACGACAGTTTACTAGAGAAAATGAACAAATCGTATTGTCAGAAGATGAGGAAGATGATAGTCAATGGCTTCGTCCAATGGAAATTACTATTGAAACGAGACCTCCGAGAGTATGTGAAAACTTACCTGAAGGAGAAAAACAACCTGAAAGAGAACACCAACCTGAGAGTGAAAACCAACCTGAAAGTGAAAACCAACCTGAAAGTGAAAACCAACCTGAAAGAGACAACCAACCCGAAAGAGAAAACCAACCTGAAAATGTTGACAATCTATCTGAAAGTAACAACCTACATGAGAGTGAAATGTTACCTGGAGGTGACATCAAACCTAAAATTGTCAATCTACCTGAAACAGAAACAGCAGATAAAGAAATTGAACATATTGAAGAATCAGGCCCTGTGAAGAGGCCTCAACGTCAAAGGAAACCTCCCATAAAGTTTACTTACCCCACACTTGGAAACCCTGTTATATCCCTCATGCAAACCTTATTTGATGGTTTTAACAACGTTATTGTTGATGTATTTGAAAATAATCTGTTAAGAGAAGTACATGAAGGGACTCATGTTATGTAAGGAGGGGAGGATGTAACCCAGGTGTAAAACCAAATTCCTAATTTAAATGTAAACCACAAAGGAATGGCTAACATATTTAAGTACTAAATGAAAATGTGTACTTTGTTTATTTATTTATTTGTATATGTGCCAACACAATGCACTGTAGTGCAGCATATAAGTCGCATAGCAACAGCCAAAACGTTACGTTCAGATCCACGGTGCACGCGACCCCGCTTCCCCTCTCTGACCGGAGTCAAGCAACGAGACACACGCAGCGAGACACACGCAAAGCTCAGCTCCATCATTTCAACAATTCAAAAGCGCAAATCAGAGGAAAAATGACATCAATCCAAGCCAAAAGAAGAGTCCTGTTGCTGGCCTGGAGTTAAAGTTGACTGATCGGTAAGAGTTACTTTGTAGTGACCACCGCAACTTTAACGTCCGCAAATGACCAACGGCCACCGTTGGGACACCGTTCCGCAAAGGAACGAGAGAGGATTGGTAAAGAATTGCTTGATTAATGATGTGTTGGCTGTTTGTCTCAACAATGTTCTAACCGGTCCATATTGATGACAGAGGCGCTGTGCGAGCGCTCACATCCAGAGCCGTGACGTCACTGTGTCCCGGCTCATACGCACGTGAATCGGTGAGAAATGTTGTCTGTGACTAAAATGCTATTGTTTATTGTTTATTGTATAAAGGGTTGAAATAATCCTATAAATGGTTTATGTATATGAATAATTAGAAAATGTTTGCATACAGAAAATCTCTTTTTGTTGCTATGTACTGTACATGAGAAATATGTTGTACCTTTGAATTAGAATTAGATTAATTGTCATGACTGGAGCAAGACATTTATTAGCCTGTCTTTTTAATACAGGTCAGGTCTTTTTAATGAGATTTGAAAACATCTTTGAAGAAGACAACTAGATGGCGAGCCACCCCACCTGAGCCAAAACTGGATGATCCCATTGCAGACCGCATGAGCTATCGGCTGCGTAGGACCGTGTCAGCTGACCACCTTGAACACAACTTTAAGTGCACTCACAGACTTTAAGGGTTTATTTTTGGGTTATTTTAAAGGCGCATATTTATTTTTGTATTTTATTTTACATTACATTGTATTTGTGGTAATAATTCTTGACATAATTAACTAAATCAATTTACATTTAACTATTGTCTGTCTTTCATTGTGGCTATAGTTCCAACACTTTACATTTGAGCTCTTTAAGAACCTAGTCGTTCATGTTAATTCCAAAGTGGGTTACACATGCATTACCAGAGAAGTCCTCTGCTCAGTGAGAGCGTGTAGGTCTGTATCATGCTGACATTAGCATTTTGGAAATGAAGTACAACGTTTGGTTATGGCTGAGATGAGAAACATGGATACTGCAGGGTCTGTAAAAGGGTCATCAGTGACATACAAAAGGAGGCACTTACAGCCAAAGGTAATCAACAAAGTAATCGCTATCCTACTACATAACTAACGCTAGGCTAGCCAGCAATATGTTTAACCTAAGGTAACGTTAGCGTGGGGGCTATAGTCTAAAAGTGATATTAGCCCACACCTGGCCTTCTCAAATAGTGGGGCACCCGCCTATTCTGCCTTCCTCATTCTGACCCATGGTTCTGACCCCAGAGTCGCTTTGTAGTGTTGACAGCCGCTCCTGCCTCCAGCGGCTATTAGCCACTTTGACAACAGCGTGGTAAGCACCCAGCCGTAACATGGTCATTATTGTATCCAGTAGGGCTGGGACAACGCATCGACGTCATCAATGATGTTGACGCAAAAAATACGTTGACGCAAATTATGCGCGTTGATTCGTCAGACTTAAAACAAAGATGGCAGCGAGTAGTAACAACGCGAGTGCCGTCTGGGGCGTTTAGACCCCCGACGCTGGAACACAGTTTCCACGCGCATTAGACACACATTCTCTGAATTTCATATGCTGGGGTTGTGTGGTATCAGATTTTTTTTATTTCTGTGATAATTACACATATATTCAAATGTATTAATGCATTAAGAAGCCAAAATATCTGCTCATGAGCAGACCTCAGTGTTTACATTTGAGAGAGTCACACCAGCGCCCGGAAAAGAAGCGGGGGATTGGGGTCGTAGAGATCATAGGTCATAGGTTATATTGTTGCATGTGTTTTAGGTTTTCATATCATGTCAAGACCAGAGGCTTTTCGTTCAGTCTTAGTCTCTCCAACCATCACTTTCTTGGGCCAAATTCATTCTATTTAATTCATGTATGTCTGCTATTGTTTATGTTATTTAGAGTGTTGGTTCTTTGAAAAAGTTCAAGTGCATTTAAAGTGCTTGAATTTTACACTTCAAACCCTGGTACTGGCTCAGCTACACATTAGTGTGCAAAGTATGGAAAGACGGACGCTGTCTTGTGCTGGTTCAGCTGCTGATGCTGTGGCACACAGATGCAAAGACACAGTCATAGCCGGCTTGTACTAGCCCAGGTTAGTCAGGATCTGACAGAATCCAACGGGGTATGGGTCTGCTTATAGCTGTTGTGCACATAACAAAACATGCAGCCCGACTTGGTATTTCAATGTTCCACACGTTCATGTAATGTCTCCGCTGCATTGTCCTCCTGTAGTAGCTGTTGTGTGCCGGTGCAGGTTTGAGAAGAGGATCTACATCCCTCTCCCAGAGGAGCCAGCACGCTCACACATGTTTCGCCTGCACCTGGGGAACACGCCTCACAGCTTGAGTGACGCAGATCTGAGGCAGCTTGCACACAAGACGCATGGCTACTCTGGAGCAGACATCAGCATCATCGTCCGGGACGCCCTCATGCAGCCAGTCCGCAAAGTGCAGTCGGCCACGCACTTCAAAAAGGTGGGTGTCAGTCTAGTGGACAGGACAGAACCATATGTTCCTCAGCACAGACCAGTGGGGGCAGGTCATGTACCTGACATGTTTGCAATCTCACTCATTCCATTGGCTTTACAGGATAGTCCAAGAGTCGGCTCTTGACCCAACGCTAAGTTTCAGATGTGTGTCAATGCTGAGGGGAGTATTTTCTGTTTGGGACCAGCGTAGTTTAGCCGCTGTGGACTTTTGAATGCACTTGCTAAATGAATGGGGCTCGTGCCAGCTTACGCTTTCGCAAAAGCGTTTTTTTCAAATTTTATCGCGGGAGGGGCTGCCCGCAGCCATTTAGAATATGCTCAATCTGCTCTGTGGCACATAAAAATCATCGGAGGAAATAGGCTCCATTACGTCCATTCTATGGCACAAAGGAACCCGGAGTTCCATGCACATTTAAAATGTATCAGTAACATAACTTCTGCCCAATTATGATTCTAACTCAAGCCTGGCACCCTTTAACGACTCTTGTTCACAGCCGTTTTCTGTTTTGTTTTGTGAATTTCTACAAAAATTCAGGTGAGACTCAATAAGTGCTATTTTTTTACCTACCAGAATTAAATACCAGTGCTTATGCCGCGGCAGTCTTCCGATCGTGTGCCTCCCCATTATTGCGGGGAAGGTAATGTGACGAGCACTGCATGAAAAGTGTGATTTCCGTCCCCGTAAGCGCCCGGACAATTTGAAACTATGCAGCGAAACCGAGCGCGACTGGCTGCGTGCTAATGGCCCTAATTAGCATATGAATGCAGAGGCTGGCCAGGCTGCTTGAATATCCTTAGTCAGTATTGGCCGATACCACTACTTTCAAACAAGAAAAATCACTTGTCTCTCGATGTGCAAAACTGATAGAGACATACCCCAAGCGACTTGCAGCTGTAATTGTAATTGCAGCAAAAGGTGGCGCTACAAAGTATAAGCGCAAAGGGGCCGAATAATATTGCACGCCCCACTTTTCAGTTTTTTATTTGTTAAAAAAGTTTAAATTATCCAATAAATTTTGTTCCACTTCAAGATTGTGTCCCTGTTAAGAAATGTTATGTGTATTATCATGTTAATAAATGTGTGTAGATTTGTCTAGTCAAGTTAACCAGCTAATGCAGAATTCTCCCAGCCCCCAGGCAAGAGTGAAAGAGCATAAGTAAACAAGAGCAGAGTAAACAAAACAAGCATGAAGCGAGAAGACATCTGTGTTGTGACAAGAAGACACTTCTCCTGACTGATGAGAGGAGATTGGTTTTCTCACCTAGAGTTTGATAGGTCATAATTGTCACCATATGGTCACATGTGTGTTTTAGAACTTTGGTAGGCGAGGCGTAACTTTCAGGGTCTGTCTTTTGTGCTTTGCCTGTAGTCCGCAGCAGACCCAGGCTAGTCTCTCTCTCTGCCTGTCTTTTATATGTATTCTGTTTTATATATTAAACCTTCTTTTATTTCTATCTAAGTTCGTAATTTCCTTCCTTTCATCGGACGACTGTTTAAGGAAACCTGGTGAACCAGCATTAAAATTTTTTGGTCCTTCGATCCGGATGTCAAAACATATTTTTTTCGGAGCTGAACAATCCGTGTATCATTCGTTCTTTTGATTTTCTAAATAAAACCAACATTGAAAAAACGAATAACAAGGGATGTTTTTGATTCTCAATATTTGAATTTAATGCAAAATTGAAATATTGGTTTGTTTTTTTGTTTTCTGTGGATCCAATTAAAACGAAAATGCAGTAAACCAATAATGACCGTCTAAATTACATTTTGCGATTTTCCTTTGAAACACAAACGTCCCCCGGAAGTGATTCGAAAGTGCGCGTTTGTCACGAGACCAGGAAGTGTCGCCTCCAGGTACTTGGATCGCACCTTGTTAGCGCTGTTTGTAGGAGAAATGTCTCTTAAAACTCTCCTCAACATCAGTCAGATTACCAGCTTTTTGATGAGAATTCTCAGATTCACGAGAGAAGGGGTTCTTCGATGAAAAATATATACACAAGTGTCAAGGTAAGACATAACTTAGCAACTAGCGCTAACAGCTAAGTTGGCATTAGCTACGACAAACATGAAACACTTAGCGTTACACATGTAACAAATGTACCTAATGTGAGTGCTTTATTATTATAAATGTATGTTATAGACTTTTATATTATATAAGGACATGATATGTTTGTGTATTGGTGAAAGTAATCATGCTAAATTTTAGTAAATAAAAGATGATGCTAGATGTACCTTAACCATTCAATTGTGCTTTGTTTCTGCTTCATTCTCAATTATTGTCGAGGGACAGTAGTTAGAGCTAGATGCTTCAGGCTTATGAAGAGAAACGAGGAGCCCTCAGACTGCAGGTTTGAAACAGTCAGAAAGACTGCAGGTTTGACACAGTCAGAAAGTCTGCAGGTTTGAAACAGTCAGAAAGACTGCAGGTTTGACACAGTCAGAAAGACTGCAGGTTTGAAACAGTCAGAAAGACTGCAGGTTTGAAACAGTCAGAAAGACTGCAGGTTTGAAACAGTCAGAAAGACTGCAGGTTTGAAACAGTCAGAAAGACTGCAGGTTTGAAACAGTCAGAAAGACTGCAGGTTTGAAACAGTCAAAGCCGCTGGGCTCATGTTCAGCTTGAGTTCCTGTCCTGATAGAAGACTAGCAGAGCATCTTTCTGTTTGGTGGTTACTATTTCTCTTCTAACTTTATAAGATAGTTAAGTTATAACAAGTAATAATTATATGTCTGTTCTAAACCCACTTTTCTGTTTTAGATCTCACTGGGTGTGCAGCAGGTAAAGGTTTCAGACTTCACACACTACTCCGAGTCCCAGCCTTGGCCTGTACCAGTGATCTGCAAAGATGGATGTGTTTATGTCAATGCAATAAAATTAATAATAACTGATCTACAAATCTCCTTTTGTTCCTTTACTATTTTAAACTTTCAACTCGTGTTTATCATTGTAAATTTATGTTACAAAATTAGAATCATTGCATGAAAAAGCACGTACTCATTAGTGTACATTATGTTCTGTCACATTTGAAAGTGTAAAAACTGTTCTTAAATCCAGTTGTCCTGGTCTTAATGGGCATTACACACGCAGTGACCTCACAGATAGAGATGTAAACTGTATGGTCAATCTAACATGCTGGTTAGGAAGTCTAACGTGCTCTGTGAATGTAAAAACCTCCTTGTTCCAGTCTTTTTGGGCTCCTTTATTCACAGCCCAACTGTGGCGGAGCTACAAGCAGTCAGTCTGCAGAGGTTAACAGTTTCCTATGACTGAATGAGGATGCTGCTGAAGATCCCAGACACAGTCGTCCAGTCAGATGTTTGCTGAGTGCAGGGTGCGCTCCTTTCCTACGTCACTGCTACTATCGGTTCATGTGTAGAGTCATGATGTTACCTATAGTATTGTACAGTCCCTGGTTTGCCCTTACATTAGCTCAGTCAGGGTCACTTCTAAACTTTGGAGTCACTGGCTTCTTTGTATGTGTGACTTGCTGTAAATATGTGATTATGTGTCTTTTTAACACAGCTTTTTTTTTTTTTATTCTTTCATTCTTAGCTCTGGATTCTGTGCTTGCATGTAAGTCCTTAGTAAAGTCTAAATAAAATTGGACCCATGTTGCTGCTGAAAGGAAGTCTGAGGTGTAAGTTGTTCTGTAAAGGTACATTCAAATAAATAACTTGTCATTTTACAGTCTTGTTTAGTTAAGAATGTCATTTCCTAATTCATAAATCTATTGATACATAATCCACTAACAGTTAGTATTTGTTTTAACGGGTTTTCCATTGCTATTCAACACAATTTAGAAAAAAAAATGTACAGAATTGTGTCCAAGTGTGTTTTAATTTTGGGAACAAACTAATCAAAAATATTTACACTGGAACAGACACACAGAAGATTTACATACATGATGAATTTAGTCTTTGGCCTTCATAATTTGCCAAAACACGACAAGCTGTGATTCCTGAGCCTCGGGAGACAGAATCCCTCTTGAATGTTGCAATAAAATTATTCCAGGAAAAAGAGATGGAGCAGCAATAGTTTTTAAGGCGGCTGATATGTAAAAAATATATATATGTATGTATATATTGGGCAGGAACATGATCCATGTTTAATGAATACATTTACTCAGAATACCTTTCTGTGAGCATAACGCCACTTCAAAAAGTTTGCTTTCGTGATTAACCACTGTATCAAAAAGAAGGGACATGACTCAGCTGATGACTTGACATTTGGACAAACCTAGTCGGTGTAACGTGGTTGATATTTCTGCATATGTTTGAATGTTTTAGAACCATTCTATCGCTGTATCTGCAAAGTCTTCCAACCCACCCATCATTTAGTTCATCTCCACCGCTACTCCACTGTTTACCTGCGGGGTGCGCACTTGCGAATCACTTCCGGGGGATTCTTGTGTTTCAAATGGAAATCGCAAAAAGTAATTTAGACGATCATTATTGGTTTACTGCATTTTCGTTTTAATTGGATCCACAGAAAACCAAAAACAAACGACATTTCAATTTTGCATTAAATTCAAATATTGAGAATCAAAAACATCCCTCGTTATTTGTTTTTTTCAATGTTGGTTTTATTTAGAAAATCAAAAGAACGAATGATACACGGATTCTGAACATCATTCCAACTGGAGATCTGACAACAGCAGCGAGGCTTAGAGGTTGCAGGTGGAGGAAAAACTGCAGCGACCGTCTCCGTGTGGGTTTGATCAGCTTTGAAATTCGGATTTGAAGACATAAAAGCCACGGTTTCCTTACGTCGCCAAAACAGGCAAGTTGGTTTTACTTTTTGAGTCGGGGATTCAAATTAAAAAAAGGCCTGGATAACGGGGATTATCCTTTTTTAAATAGTCGGGGACTATTTTGCAGACAGTCGAGGCCGGGATAACGGGGTTTATCTTTAGATAGTCGGGGACTATCATAGACTGTATAATAACGGGTTATTATTAAGAGTAAGTCGGGGACTACTTTTTACTGCAGTTAAAAGTGAACGGGGTTCATTTTGAATTAAAGAAGTTACGCCTGTATGATGAATGTGTTAGAATTGAATTACTTCAGACTGAACTTCTACATTACTTCTAAACTGAAATTGGACATTTATAGACATCTAAATAAGCTAAATTGAAATCGGATGTTTAAAGACCTTTAAATTACTCAAAATTTGGAATTGGACATTGTAAAAAGACCTAAAAATTAGTTAAATTGCAAGCATTGTGTAGGGCGGCCATTTTGGGTGGCCATGTGGTCCTTTTGTCCTCTGGCCATGTGTTTCTTTGTCCTCTGGCCATGTGTTTCTTTGTTTGTCTGTGTCCTTCTTTGTTCTGTGAGTCCTCTTTGTTTTCCTTTGTCAAAGTTTTCTTGGTTTAGAATTACCCTTCACCTTATGTTTTGATTCTGAAATGTATTAACAAATGTGCTTCTTGTTTTTTGAGAAAAATGCCACATCCCTGCCAAAGCTTCAAAGCAACAAAATCCACCTATTTTCCATTGTGGGACAGACATCCCACCCCCATCGCCATCTCCATACAGCCATCGACACCTACAAAACGACCCTCCACACAACACCCCCCCCCCCCCCCCCCCCCCCGCACCGGAAGCTGCTGACGAATAATCACGGGCCGATTTGCAAGGATCAAAGCGCGCAGGCCCACGGAGGTTGCTGGCCATTTGTTCAAGTTAAATGGACGTGAGAACTGAAGTGACATCTTGGTACATTTGCGACTTGAAAGTTCAGCTTTGTGTCGCTGTTGGAGAACGGCTTGCTGCTAGTCTTGCGACAGAGAAGAGTTTCGAAACAGGATCAGAGTGGACATTTCTGGTCATAACCAAACATGAGGAGGGGTCGAGAGGACGTCAAATGACTGTCTATGGACTGTGAAAATGGACTTTGGGCTTTTGGCGTGTTGTGTGGTGTTGAATTTGGATAACCAAAGTTAATACATTTCAAGTTAATACATTTCAAGTTAATACATGTTCAGTTTTGAGCCATGTTATGTCTCAATAGGGAATAGTTTATGGACAACAATGTGAAATTATACTATGAACATTTTTTTCTTTTTCAGTTTGGATGTAGTGTGTTTTCATTTTCAGTTCTCCATGTTCTCCATTTTTAAACATAGATTGTTTGATTTATCCAAAGGATAAAAAGGAGGGAATGATATTGGAATGTAACTTTAGTTATCATTTTGCTAAATCATTTGTGGCTGAATTCTATACTGTCTGTATTGTAATCCACTGTTGACTTCAGTGCTTGGGGTTGTATGCAGATGCCAGGAGGAAGCAGGTTTTGAGGATGCTAATTTCTCACTGTTCTTTTGTTGTGTTGGTTTCTTCCTTTCCCATCTGCATACGAAGGTGTGTCTTGCTCTACCAAAAGGGGCTTGCCATCTGTGAATCTTCAGACTTGTCCTGAGAGAGGCTGGGGTCTGTGCTTGCCTCTGTCAAGACATTCTCCTTGTACAATGTAACAAGTAAAAGATTAACTTTGTCTCTTTGTTGTGTGAGATTTCATCAGGTTCAACTGTAGCTGAAACAGCATTATCAGTCCCACTTGTTGATTCTTGACAAAAAAATAAAATTTTATATCTTTATGTTTGAAGCCTGAAATGTGGCAAAATGTTGAAAGGTTCAAGGGGGCCGAATACTTTCGCAAGGCACTGTATATATATATATATATATATATATATATATATATATATATATATATATATTATATTACTATATATATAATATATATAATGTAGTATATGTTTAAATGTAGGGTAGCTAAATTTAGTAGTGTGGATCGGCTAGTCTCCGGATCAGAAACTCGCCGTTCCACCAAGGGGATCTGTTCTTAATTTATTTAGGGCACCAGTAGACGTTGGGAGTCTACGACAGACCCAGGGATATTTGCCTCGATACCAGTATCACAAATCTGATGGTTTTGAGTACGAAAATCGCCAGGGATACCCAACGACTTAAAACACGACGCTGAAGTGATTGAAGTTAAAGTTAACGAGGGTTTATTGACTACAAAAATGAAATAGAAAATATCAACGAAAAGGGTTTTCTGGTCACATTAAGTAAAGATTGCTATACATATCATTCGAATCACACTCCAACAAAGAACAGTCTTACTTTTGAGGAAGTCCAAAGGGGTAATGGCGATGGAGGGCAGTGGAGAGGGTGAGAATGAAGAATGAAGAATGGAGATGGGGGAAAGCGAGGGTGTCGTCCACGTGTCCTTTGTCCGAACGGGAGCAGGAGGAAAAACCAGCGGGTCGGATCCAAACGTGGGTTCCACACACAACACGGTCCTAGAATGGCGTTTGCGGTGGGTGTCCAGAGAGCCCGAAAGTGGCTGGCGATGGAGAGTCCTCGTCTCCGACAGCGGGGGTGGCTGCTGTCCTCGTGGGATGTACCGCCCGAGAAGGTAGGCGGTGTTGGGCCAGTGATATGAGACACTTACCGCAAAGGAAGGGTTGGATAATCGGATTACCAGGGAGAACCAAGAGGCAAGTCTGGGGGTCCGCGCTTTCGGTTTTGTTGTGGTCAAAGGGGCGCGTCCGTGGCGTCATCCTTGTTCGCCCTGCCCTGGACATCCTTCACAACAGACATGTTATAATAGGCAATAACGCAGATTAATACAGACATGTTTCATTAACACATGTAACAGCACACAAACCGCATTTACATTAACTTGACAATGAATTACACACGTGAAGGGCACCGTACATGATTATTGGAATGGAGATGAATCCAGAGTGCTTGGTTTAAATTTTCCGACCCCGGGTGCGTGATAGTGTTCATGTCCCACTTTGGGGGTGCGCCAGAACGGCCGTGGTGGATCGTCTGAATTGTCCCAGGGACAGGAATGTCACCTGATTGAGAAGCAGACTTGAGATCTTTGATCTCTAAGGTCGGCAGAAAGGTACTAACTGTTTATTCTGGGGCTCAGTTTATTGCCCAGGATGGAAACTTATGGTCTCGGTATCCAAGTAAACCGTGGTCATCAAGGGCATGTTCCGTATCCTGTCCTCAGGTTGACTTCCCCAAGGTTGACTGGTAACCGAACCCACCTCCTCACGCTCAGCTCCAAGAGGTGTTATGGTTCGCCAAAGATGGTCACTCATCTGTGGGCGATAGGTGGTCTCCCTGTCAAGACATAACACCTCAAAGCAGAGCCGACGGAATCAGAACGTAATGCTAAATTGGGCCGACGTACACACCTGTATGGCTTTTCTTGGATTTTTCTTGAGAAGATATTGATCCTGTTGAGAATGACAATGTAACTGAAATTGTCCATCAACCAAATGACTACTAGGGCAAACTACTAATCGGGAGACTGTCAAGGGGTCAACTCCACTCTATGGCTTATCTAATGTTGATGTTGACTCATGTGAGGTACAGATGGGATGCAAGAGTAACATGACAGATCCTATTTTTGCTAGTGGTTTTATCAAGAATCTTTTCCGTCATCATCGGGACGTGGAGAAAGCGAGAGGCTATGTGCACTCGCAATAAGACTGTCTGATAACAGACCTTCCGACTCCCTTACCGGCGCGGGCCACCGATCCCAGTACCATAAAGCTGCGACAGGATATTGACGGAGATGAAGAAAAGGAGTATTACAGCAATCTAACATGAAATATGGAGTCACCGCTGGTGCTTGTAATGGAATAAAAATGGGGATCTTCGTATTGCACTGATTATCGATGGCTTAACAAATAGACATTTAAGGATGCGCACCCCCTTCCTCAGCAGGCAGATTGTCCTGCAGCACTTGGGGGAAAGCTGTCCTCTTTAGCACCATGGATTAAACATCTGGCTTTTATAATGTGCCGCCCATGAGGGGGGGGGGAGGACAGGAAGTATTACTTCGCCTTCAACTACTGCCAATGGGGCTGTTCGAGTACAATCGCCTCCCGCAGGCCTCTGTACTAGTACCCCGGTAGCTTCATGCGTTGATGACAAGCATTTTCTGAGAGATCAGAACTATCTAAAGCTCACCGCACTCCGGGGGGAAACGCAAGCGCCTCGCGCGCGTCATTTGACGCGCGTTCATGACATTTGGTCTAATTACACCGAACGCCTTGGCTAGCGTCCTTTTTTCAGCTGATATAGCCCAATATAGCCAATAAAAATAGCGAAATTACTATTGTTAGCTTACCTGTACAATTCAATTTCAAGTGAAATGAATGTCCCAGGCATATTGCCTTTTTCGCACGATATCCTTATAAAAAGATTCTGGGGGGGGGGGGGGGGGGGGGGGGGGGGGGGGGGGGGGGGGGGGGGGGGGGGGGGGTTTGTAGAGGGGGGGGGGTTAAGGGGGGTAGGGGGGTGATTGAGGGAATAGGAATGTGGGGGTAAGGGGGTTCGGTGATGTGAGAAGGGGGTATTGTGGTTTTGGGGTGTAAGAGATAATAGATTAGAGTGTTTTGAGATTTGTTGGTTTAGTAGGGGGAGGGGGTGGGGGGTATGGATGAAGGAGAGAAGAGGGAGGGGTAGGATTAATATAGGTTATGGAGAAGGAATAGAGAAGGAGGAGAATAAGGGGATTAAGGTGGGGTGAGTGGAGAGATGTGGTTTTTTTTGGGTGAGGAGAGGGGGGAAGGAGAGGATTGGGAGGGGGGGAGGGGGGGAGGGGGGGAGGTTGGAGGAGGGAGTTGGGTGGGGTGAGAAGGGAGGTGGAAAATGTGGTTGTGTAAGATAGGGTAAAGGGGTATTGGGGGGGTGAGATGGTGGAGTAGGGGATATTCGGGTTTGATGGTAAGAATTATTTGGGAGGAGGGAGTGGTACGTGTTGGTGAGTGGGGGAATATGTGGTGGGTGGTTTGTGGGGGGATATAATGTTTAATGGATATGTGGTATGGTGGTGAAGAATATTTGGAGGTGATGGTGTGGTGGGGGAGATGGTAGGGGGGGGTTTTATAAAATGAAAAATTGAGGAGGGGTGTTCGTGAGGGGATGGGGTTTGTGTGATGGGATAGGTGGGTAAGGGGTGAGAGGAATTAGAATTGAAAAGGGGGTGAAGTTTGGAGTGTATAATTTTTGGGGTAGATAATAGAAAATTTATATTTTATATTTGTGTTGGGGAAAAAGGGATATGCAAGGGGTTTAAGGGGGAGTAATGGGTGTTAAATTGGGAAAAGTGGGAGTGGGGTGGAGGGGTGGAGAAGGGGGATTAATGAAGGGGATAGAAACGGTGTGAGAGATTGAAGAGGAATGAGATAGTGGGGGTATTGGGTGAAAGTGATGTAGAAGGGAATTTGGTGGTGTAGAAAAGGGAATGGTAAAATAGATGAGTTTGGATGGGTAGGATAGTGGAAAATTAGATAATTGTATAGATAAATAAGAGCAGTGGAGTGTGGGGGGGTGAAGGTTAAGGGAGGGTGGGGGGTATTGTGGGGGTATGGGGGGGATTGTTGGGTATATTATGGATGGTGGGTATGTAATAAGATAGAAAATATAGATATGAAGGTAATATCAAAAACTGGAAGGATGTGAAAAAAGCATGGGGTGGATAAAGCTTGGACAAGATAGGAATTGGGGGGGTCATGTTTGGTTGTAAAGGGGGAAAGGATGAGGTGGGTGAAGAGAGTTGGAGGGGGGAAGGGGATTTTGAACGGTGGGAAAGTGGTGGGTGGATGGTGAACTTTATGTAATAATGGGGGGTATATGGAATGGGTATTGTAGTAGTAGTGAGTGAAAAAGGAAGTTAGTGTGATAACAAGTGGGCTGTGGTCTCGGAATGGCATGTTCCCGCTGTCGTTGGCAAAATACAGTCTGACAAGTACTGCCACGATGTGTTGGGAAGGTCTATAAGGTTTGGTGGGGGAAGAGGGGGGAACCGAGGAGGGTCGGTGGACATGGGAGGAAACGTACCACAAGTAAGGAAACTGCAGGGTGCACGGCTGGGGATTGGCACACGCACACTGGCATAATCCAACAAGGAGCTGGCGTGGAAAGGCTGCGGGGAGTTAAAACCGGATCCCTGGCTTGTGCCTATGGGGAGAGGTAACGGAGCCAACTCGAAAGTAGAGAGCCTTTGATCCTGTCCCTCTGGTGATTAAGTACCTGAAGCAATGGGAAAAACTTCTGTCTGTGATGGGAGTTTGACAGAACTCAAAAGATCTCAACATGCGTCCTAAGACGCCACCAATATGTTGTCCCCGATACGCTCAGGCAGAGATATTTGCGTGGTGGACATGATTTGGGCAGTCACCAAGCCCAGCCCGTACCTTAGGTCCTGACCGGCAGAGGTTTTCTGGTTTACACTGGACAGAATGGTGAGGGACAATGTCCCCGCAAATGGTCTACGCTGTGTTGTCAGCAAGGACAGGTTTGATCCTGATCCCTGAGGGTAGAGCTCCATTGGAAGAGGTATAGTCACGTCCGACCACTTGAAGCGCGATGTATAGTCTTCTGGTCTGCCGAAGAGTCCGGCAACAAGGTCGGTTGATGTACTATGATCACAGATCACTTCACACGCATGGGCACAGGCTTCCCCTTAGATACCAGACACCAGGCAGTTGCGAATGCCGCTGGAAAAAAACCTTTGGTGTTTTGGGTTCCCGAGAGGATACACAGTGCTCAGGGACCTATTTTTTGAAGGTCAGTGATCAGTGAGTTGCTTCGAGTCTCAGTGTCAAGAAGTCCCATACCACACCATATCACCCCATTGCAATGGGTTTGTAGAGCGTTTAATAGAACACTGGGTGGGATGATTCGTGCTCTGCCCCATGAAGCTAAAGTGGGATTGGCCACGCAGTTCAGACGCTAAACCTTTGTGTACATTGACTTCCCATAGACTACAGCTTCCCCGGGTTATTTATCTAATGTATGCCGGTGTCCCCGTTGCCGATTGATGTATGTTCCAGGTCTGTCCTTCATGATTCCACTGTGTTTTTTTCTGGATATGATCAATTATGATTTTTAGTCCCCTTGTTGATGATCTGAAAGAGGCCATGTGTTTGCTCAACCATGTAAAGAAAGAACAACACAGACACACATTGCTTTACAACCGGTAAGTGAAAAGGATCGTCCATTGAAATCGGTGACCTATGCTGGATGGCAAACAAAAGAGAGAAGGGTAAAAGGAACACTCGCTGATAATGGGAATTCGACAATCTACACTGTCCAGGTGTCAATACATGGAACCCACACCGACAAAATCAGTGACAACAGCTCCGGAAGTAAGGGATTGTCCACAAACCTTTTATTGCCTGCCAACTTCCTCCCTGATGGGTTAGGTGACACCACGACATGATTCAACACGTTGCCATGTTGTTGGGGGTGGTGGTTTGGTGGTGGTTGGGGGGGGTTGCTCTGTTCAGAGTATGGATGGACTGAACCGGATTGTGAGGCGACACGAGCCTGTCCGAGACCCGGCTGAGTCGGCGGACAATGAGAACGGACTGGTAAGCGTGGGTTACACAGTTGACGAGCCCAGACTCGACACGAGCAACGTCGCTGACCTTTTGCCCCTTGACAGCCCGAAGTCAAGCTGACTCGGTATTGTCTCCAATACTGGGACTGACTGTCTGCTCTAGTGTTTGACAATAAAGCTGTGTTCTTTCTGAACCTACTCTTGACCCACCTGGGACTGCCCCTGGGGTCATCCTCAGATGCGCTCTAGGCTCGGTCGTTTAGCGTTGGTTTTTGTTTTTTTTTTTTTTTTTTTTTTTTTTTTTTTTTTTTTTTTTTTTGTTTTTTTTTTTTGTTTTTTGTGTTTTTTTTTGTTTTTGTTTTTGTTTTTTTTTTTTTTTTTTTTGTTTTTTTTTTTTTTTTTATTTTTTTTTGTTTTTTTTTTTTTTTGTTTTTTTTTTTTTTTTTTTTTTAATTTTTTTTTTTTTTTGTTTTTGTTGTTTTTTTTTTTTTTTTTTTTTTTTTTTTTTTTGTTTTTTTTTTTTTTTTAAACCTGTGAACAGACTTATACAGAACATGTCTCGTCAGGATGTTGTTCCGGACACCTTCAACTCAAAGGAGTTTTGCAGAACTGGATTCAGCTCTTACTGGTTGTAGTAAAACTTGGTGTGTGATGGGTTCTCACAATTTTGACTGTGGTTGGTTTAGGTCGGTTTTGTTTGGTGTCCCACTGGTCAACTTTGGAGCGGTTTGTTTATTTGTTATTTTTTTATGAAAATGGGGTTTTGTGGGGTGTAGAAGCACCCTACTGGGCCAGTAGCTGGGGCTGAGGTTTGGGATCCCCCCTCATGTCCACTTCGTCCCCCAGGGATGCTTGTAAGTTGGTTTTCCTTTGGGTAACCCCTTGGTGGTTTATTTTGGGTGTTGTTGTCCTTGTAGGGACATTCCGGGTACCAGTGCTCAAAAGTGATAAAATTCAGTGGGGGTGGAATGTAACGGATATAGAAATGCACTGTATATTTTGGGTTGTTTAATATTTGGTTGTATTTGATTTTAACATGTAATAGTGTGTGAATTTTATTATTTTGACGTTTTATTTGAAATTCTGCTCCCCTGAGGTGTGTATTTGGGGGCGCTCAAACTCCCCTCTCGAGCCGTGTTGAATGCTGCAAGGGTGAGTATCGTCTCTGTGAGGGATACGTGTTTTTCAATCATTTGGCTTTATTTGTTTGTGGTGTTCATTAGGATATGTTTAGTGGGGAATGGTATTGGGCTCGAAGTGAGCGTGTTTTGCACATTTTCTGGCGCACATTTTTTGTTTCTTCTGAGTACTTTTTGTTTGGATCTACTATCCATCGTGCTCACGTGCCGTTTTTTCGTTCTGTAAGGGGGGAGGCAAGTCCACTGTACTGACTTTGTGTTGGGGTTGTCTGTCACAGGTAGCTTTGATTTATTTTTATGTAAAACATGTTTAGTTGTGATTTGGTATATTTGTTGATTTTTCACTACATTCAATTATTATTTGCTCCCCCTTCCCTCACAGAGCCGTTTTGAATGCTTCCAAGAGGGGGAGCCAGAGTCCACTGTGACTGACTTGTGTGTGTGTTGTCTGTCACAGTCTGAAAAAAAATAAAATAGTCGACTCTACACTTGTAGCTGTTGTTTGTAAACGGCTCTTGGTGGTGTGGGTTGTTTTTTGGTTTTTTTTTTTTTGGTGATGTTTGTGTGACGAGGTTGCATGCCGTGACATTAATATAGTAAATAAAAGATTACTTATTATCTTACTAATGATGACATTTTTAAGACCAGAAACTCTTAATTTAAAAAACAAGACTCAAATCTAAAAAAAACTTTTTAAACTTTAAACTATGTATTATATACTTTTGTACTGTGTGATTAATTATCCATGAACATTTATCTCATCATTTATTTTACTAATTTAAAATAATTGCAGCATTTTTCAAATGAAGTCAGTATGAATTGGAGCACATTTTAGACCAGGCTCCTCTGCTGTGGCATCAGCAGGAGCAAGGTCAGGCGTGTAGTCAAAACAAAAACATCACCGCTTGCAATGGGTGAATTGGGTAGTTTAACTTAATAATACTTTTACAGCCTAATTCCCTCTTTCTTTTTAGACAAAGTCTATAATCAATAATCACTTTTAACAGATTCTAATTTAAATGTTTGAAAAACGGCTTTTGTAACTAAAATAAAAACATAAAAAAATTCTCACTAACAGCTATGAAATATATCAGAGATACAATAATGGACTCACAAAATAAGCAGCAGATTTAAAAAGAAAAGCAAAGCTTTTTGTACTAATCTTTGGGTTTCAAAAACATACTAATTCAAAACTTATATTTACTAAATGGTGTTTAAAAACGTTTAACTGTGTCTAACACAATGTTCAATTGCAAATTTAGCAAATTAAAAAACTTAATAAAAGCCAAAATCCTAAAAGCAGTAGCTTTGCTCTGATTCAGAGCCAGAGCAGCGAAGGAGGGGGCCGTTTCCCTGACAACGGCAGCAAGATAGAGCTTTGCACACACAGGCAGAAAGATACAGAAGAATAACTTTCAAGATTACTTTGTTAAGCGAATATAACTGATGTTGTTCTTTAAACTTTTGTCATCCAAGTCTAGAAGTGATCACTTTCCACACTAGTAACAAAAGGCACTCTTGTCTTTAACGTTTCCCTTTTTATTTTAACTTTAAATTTTACACCATGGTTTCACTAACTATTTTCTATTCTCTATTCTCTGCCCCGGCTACTCCAAAGGCAGGGACCCCGATACGTCAGGGGTTCCTTTCTCTCTGTCCTGACTACTTCAAAGGACAGGGACCCCGATACGTCAGGGGTTCCTTTTTCTCTCTGTCTTGACTACTTCAAAGGACAGGGACTCCGATACGTCAGGGGTTCCTTTTTCTCTCTGTCCTGACTACTTCAAAGGACAGGGACCCCGATACGTCAGGGGTTCCTTTTTCTCTCTGTCCTGACTACTTCAAAGGACAGGGACCCCGATACGTCAGGGGTTCCTTTTTCTCTCTGTCCTGACTACTTCAAAGGACAGGGACCCCGATACGTCAGGGATTCCTTTTTCTCTCTGTCCTGACTACTTCAAAGGACAGGGACCCCGATACGTCAGGGGTTCCTTTTTCCTATAGGGACTGGTTACCCACACAGCTAACCTGTTTTCTACAACATAAGACATGACAAAGACGTGACAAAGACATAACAAAGAAAATTTGATTTAGAGAGATTTGGACAGACCTCCGGGACAGCTCAAAATTTAGCTAGTATCCAATTATGCAGACTTTACATATTAAAAAAGGTGTCTGCTTACCTTATTTTCTTTGTCCGGACTGTTCGAGAGGTCGACCAACATCTTTTCCGCGTCGAAAAATTCAATTTAAACACAAAACAGAGAAAGTGAGGGAGCAAGAGCAAGCCCATCCAAAAGCGAGCCCTTTCAGCGTCCACTGGGATTTCTCCCCTTCCAGATAAATCAGAATCAGAATCAGAATCAGAATCATTTTTATTGCCAACGTAAGTAACGGGAGGTCACAGACTTGGAAATTGCTTTGGCTCAGTGCAACAGTCAAAAAGAGATAATAAAAATAAGAATAAAAAACACTTCTAAAGAATAAATTTAAATTTAAAATAGAGTTACAGTTACTATTTACAATATACAAGTGCACATGGTGCACACAATGTAAGGTGACAGCAGTACAGTGAAGTAAAGTGACGTATGATGGGCAGTAAAGTGACTTTATAAAGGGCGGGGGGACAGGTTAAGAAGTGTTCAAGAGTCCAACAGCAGAGGGGAAGAAACTGTTCTTGTGGCGGGAGGTTCTAGTCCTGATGGACCGCAGCCTCCTGCCTGAGGGGAGTGGTTGGAATAGTCCATGTGCAGGGTGAGAGGGGTCGGCTGTGATACGACCAGCCCGGCCTCGAGCTCGGGCGACGTACAGGTCCTGCAGCGATGGAAGGCTGCGGCCGATCACTTCCTCTGCAGAGCGCACAATGCGCTGTAGTCTCTGTTTGTCCCTGACTGTGGCTCCAGCGAACCACACGGTGATGGAGGAGGTGAGGATGGACTCGATGATGGCCGTGTAGAACTGCACCAACATCTGTGCAGGCAGCTTGGCTTTCCTGAGCTGCCGCAGGAAGTACATCCTCTGCTGGGCCTTCTTGATGAGGGAGCTGATGGTCGGCTCCCACTTGAGGTCCTGGGTGATGGTGGTGCCCAGGAAACGGAAGGACTCCACAGAGGTGATGGGGGAGTCCATCAGGGAGGGTGGGGGCGGGGGGACAGTGCTCTTCCTGAAGTTCACAATCATCTCCACTGTCTTCTGGGCGTTCAGCTCCAGGTTGTTACCACTGCACCAGGACACCAGCCGGTCCACCTCCCTCCTGTAGGCGGACTCATCGTTGTTGGAGATGAGTCCAATGAGGGTGGTGTCGTCCGCGAACTTGATCAGCTTCACGGAGTCGTGGCTGGAGGTGCAGTGGTTGGTGTACAGGGAGAAGAGCAGGGGAGAAAGAACACAGCCCTGTGGGGCTCCTGTATTTATAATCCGAGAGTCCGAGACATTCTTCCCCAGACGCACTCGCTGCTTCCTGTCCGTCAGGAAGTCAGTGATCCACCTGCAGGTGGAATCGGGCACGTTGAGCTGGGAGAGCTTGTCCTGGAGCAGGGATGGCAGGATTGTGTTGAAGGCAGAGCTGAAGTCCACGAACAGGACCCTGGCGTAGGTCCCCGGGGAGTCCAGGTGCTGTAGGATGTGGTGGAGGGCCAGGTTAATGGCGTCGTCTACAGATCTGTTGGCTCTGTAGGCGAACTGCAGGGGGTCCAGGAGGGGGGAGGTGAGGGACTTGAGATGGGAGAGAACCAGGCGTTCAAATGACTTCATGACGACAGACGTAAGTGCTACAGGTCTGTAGTCATTGAGTCCTGTGATCCTGGGCTTCTTCGGGACGGGGACAATGATGGAGGATTTGAAGCAGGCCGGTACATGGCAGGACTGCAGAGAGGAGTTGAAAATGTCCGTGAACACAGGAGTAAGCTCACTGGCGCAGTGTCTCAGAGTGGCCGGAGACACGTGGTCCGGGCCAGGAGCTTTGCGGGGGTGCAGCCTCAGGAAGAGTTGTTTAATCTCTTTAGCGGCTATTGTTAGGCTGGGGGCAGGGCTGATGGGTGGGTCGTTAGAGTAGTGGGGGGTGGGGGAGGGAGAGGTGTCAGGGGCAGCATCAAAGCGACTGAAAAATAAGTTCAGATCGTCAGCTAGCTTGTGGTCATCAGCACAGGGGGGGGCTTTGGGTTTGTAGTTGGTGATCTCCCGTAGGCCCCTCCAGACAGAAGCAGTATCGTTGTTACCAAACTGCTCCTGTAGTCGTTCTCTGTGCCGGGACTTGGCTGCTTTCAGTTCTTTCCTGAACTGATATTTAGCTGCTTTGTAGCCGCTGCGGTCCCCCTCCCTGAAAGCAGACTCCTTTGCTTTCCTGAGCTGCCGGAGTTTAGCAGTGAACCAGTGTTTGTCGTTGTTATAGATGACCCTGGTCCTTGTTGGAATGATGCTATCCTCACAGAAGTGGATGTATGACGTCACAGTGTCCGTATATTCATCCAAGCTGTCTGTGGCAGCTCTGAAAAGGTCCCAGTCTGTAGATTCCATGCATGCGCGCAGCTCTTCCACAGCTTCATCAGACCACACTTTGGAGCTCCTCACTGCAGGTTTCGAGAGCTTTAGTCTCTGTCTGTAAGCAGGAACCAGATAAAAGAAAAGAAACAGAGAAAACTCCCTCAAAACAATCCAGAGAATGGCACACACGGAGCCGCACATTCTCCACCAAATCTGTCAGGATTAAGCAGACAGAGACGGATCGTGGTGTGTCAAACTCTGGAAGTTTATTTAAGTTTCTCTCAAGTTCCACTGGTTTACTCTGTTTCTTTCTCTCAGACAGAATAAAGGCAGTACACAGTTTATATAGTCATTGTCACGTCACACATCGAAAGACATACGTGTCACAAAGAGACAGTCACATCATAGTCATAACATGGAGTCCTTGTAGAGTCCTTGTACAGTCCTGCACGTAGGCCATATTGCTATCTAATACTAACACCAGCCTCAGAGGAGCGCATGTGAGTGCTGTCTGTGGCCAGAATATCAGAGTTACAGGTTGGTTATATAGTACAAAACTAATGTATGTCATACTCGTGAAAAATATAAAACAGAAGTTCTCTTCTTTTTTCAGGCACAGTTGCAACAACTAAGTGTAGAGGACAAAGATGAACTCCTACAAATGGTAGTTACACGTCTGCCAGGGGTGTTACTGGACATTATGGACTACAGACAGGCCATACCAGGACCTCCATCAAACCAGGATCAGCCAGCTTGGTGCACCTGCCACAATTGCCGACTTATGCCTACAGACCTGGAAAATAAGTGCTGTAGACAGGATCCAGAAGGGTGTCTGGGCCGACGTGCTCATATGAACCTTTTCTGAAACTACATTATACATTAGAAAAATCTCTCTTGAATTGTAGGAGTGAATAAATATAGATTGATTGAATGAATGAATGAATTCATATATATTATGCAGCGGTGGCTCTCATGAATGAAGCGTCTGCAGTGTCTTGGACGCAGCCTGGCTCGGGGTAGAAGTGCGCATTAAAGCACTGTACACTTCAGAGAGTGTTTGCGGTCCAGATTTCACAAAGAAACTTTGAAGCCAGATGTGAATGAGGAATACAAATAGCCGTGCGTAATTACGCAGTGCAGAGCCTGTCACAGCAATAGATGGGTCACACATCCCTGTCGCGTAAAGTGTATTTATATAGAGCCTTTCACAGTTCAGGATCACAAACCGCTTCACATTTTAAAAACATATACAGATCAAAATAATACACACACAAGTCAGATTTAATAGAGATTTAACAGAGGGCAAGTTACATACACACAGGCCTGGGGTTTACCTCATCAGTGCGAGGTGAGCCTGGCCTGACTGCGCTCTTCTCCTCTGGGACCTACGGGCCCGGGCCTCTGGCTCCTCTACCTCACGAAGTTCATGCTGAACTTTCTTAAAACTAAAATGACTAAAAAGGCTGCTCTGTTGTGAATGTTTTGAGAGCGTTGTCAATCTTGAAGACGAGGAATATCTGCTTGTTCTCGGGAACGAGCTGTGTGATATGATCATGCAGATTATTGGACAAAAATGTTCAGCCAATAAACAGGACTATATTTGAAGCAACGTGAACGCTCAGGGGGTTACATTTTCTTAAAACATTAGAACGCAACATTTAGGCAATAATGTGTGTATAAAAATAACAATATTTAAATTATGACTTTTAATAAAAAAGGCTAATGACTTTAGAGGTGAAGAACAAATTTGAGTAGGCCAAGAAAAAAACTGGTAGGCACCGGCTTACCCGGGCCTATCCCTGGCGCCGCGGCTGCTTCAAATATACATCTATCTTTTATTTCAGTCATTGTGAAAAAAAGGAATATTTGACATAATATAAATAAAAGTGGTGTGCTCATCTTTGATTGCTGTCCGCCTTAGTTTATGGACCAGATATCAAGTCCTAGAAAAAGAAAGAACAAATACATTAATAAATTTCAGACTTTTCTTCTTTTGAATCTCAACACTACCTGTCTATTGTATATTCAACAGCAGATACAAGGTTACAATCGTTAGAGGAAAGGTAAACATGCATGAATTTTAACATTTGACGAATACTGTTTTTTGTAATGAATGTAAATTGTCTTATTGGGAAGCAGCAAATCAATGGAGCTGAAGGAAGAGGCTTTGAATGAGAAACAAGCCAACAATCTGGAAAACAGTGTGTACGTTATTCTCAATGTAATTCAATGTGTATGTGTTGTTTCATAATTTACATATTGGGCTGTTCTTTTTTAAGAATGGGGCCCCATCAACACCTCTGCTGATGGGCCATGGGGTGTGGACGTGAGTGGTCCCTTTGATAGAGAGTGCCTCTCGTAACTACAACAATAGAGCCATTGTTACTGCTAGCGATGGCGATATCAAGTATTGCAGTGAGACAATTACAATAACACGCGTATGTTTCGAAGACTCTACACAAGATATATATATATTTTTTTTTTTATGCATATGTACACATATACAAAAATAAATAAATATAAAAAATAAAAAAATATAGGCAGCATACATTTCTAAAAATAAAAATATATAAAAGATTCCTCCCAAATGATATCTATATATCTATAAGTATAAACGCCTGAATAAAATGGAATCTTATATAAAATTTCAATATTTATATAACACTGTCCAATATGCCAAACCTCTTTTCTTCCGATTGTCTTTCAGTCTTTTTGTCTGTCTTGCTCCCAGAGTGGTCTTTTACTTTGTTTACTTGCTTCAGTCGTCTTTATCTCCGTTGGCTGCTGGTGCGATGTTGCGGATGAACTCCTCCACTGCTTGTGGCTCCGTGAACACGTGCCTGGATCCTTTCACCGTTATCGTCATCTTCGCTGGATAATACAGGCTGTATGGGATTCCTGCATCTCGTAGTTTGGGCTTCACTTGGTTGAATGAGGCTCTGAGGCGGCCCACCTTTGGGGAGATGTCTGGAAAAATATGTACCACGGAGCCATTGTAGGAGAGCTTGCCTTTTTCTCTGGAAAGTCTCAAGATTGTTTATTTCTCTGTGAAGCAATGCATGCGGGCAAGGATTGCACGGGGGCGGTCGCCTAGTGTTGGTTTTGGGGCAAGAGTTCTGTGGGCCCGGTCAATTATTGGGGGAGAAGCAAAGTTTTCCGGCCCCAAAACTTGTTGCAGAAAACGCGCTACAAAGTGACGGGGATCACCTCCTTCTGCGCCTTCTTTGAGCCCTATAATACGTAGATTTTGCCTTCTGCTTCTATTTTCCAAGTCCATGCATTTTTCAGAAACTTTCTTGTACTCCTTTTCCAGCGATCCATGTGCTCTTTCCAGCATGGTCAACCTGTCGCTGTAATCATTGAGTGTCTGTTCAATGTGTGCCCGTTTGATTTCCTCGTGGTTGTAATTTAGCCTGCTAGTATGCTCCGATAGCTCTCGTCTCAGCGCATCACCATCAGCTTTAGCCTCCAGTCGCAGAGCTGTGATTTCTCTCTGGATGTCGGATTTCATTCTCCCCATCTGCGTTTGAATATCCACTGATAAGCCTTCTCTGAGTGTTTGCAGTGCGCTTTTCAGAGTTTGTACCGTGAGAGGAGACTCCTCCGGTTGGTCTGTGGCTAGCAGTGTAGCCTCCGCCATGTTGCTAACTTCTTCTACGGCAGATTCTTGCGCGTTAGCTGGAGTGTTAGCCAATTCGTTAGCCGATGGGACCGCGGCTGTTTGAAGAGTCTGCTGAGAGTATCTTCTTTGGTTTTTCGGTGGCATGTCGTAGTCCGTGCAGCCAGTAAGTGTTGTAGTAAGTAAAGACTTATTTCTCCGACCCAGAAACTTTTTAATCAATAAATTTACGCAAAGCTGCTGCCGTAGGTGCGCTGCTCACTCCATAGGGCGGAAGCGGAAGTCCGTCACGCTGCTTCTATTGACGGAAGTGAGCGGGAGAGAAGTCTTTAGGAGTTAGTGCGCGGACGTAGTGCTCCTCGTATTATTACACCTCACAATTTAGTGCCCCTTTTTATCCGCTGAGAAAATTGACATGTTACATTTCTGTGTTACTATACTTTGTAGAGTAACACGTCACGTAACTGTATTTAAATAGGGGAAACGTGGAAGAGTTTGTGTAAGCTTGTGTAAGTTTAGTAAGATTAGTCAAAGCAAAGGAAGGTTTCTCACCCATCATCTGTACTTCTTAGCAGGTTTTCCCGACGTTTCGTCCTCAATCCAAAGGACTTCTTCAGGGAATGAATTCTCAGACCGCGCGTTGGAGATTTATAACCTATGAGTTTGGTACAGTAGGTCCCATTTCGTTTTGTCGTCTTCACTCACGCTTTTCATGAATCACGCAGCTGCGTGAAACATATTACATCTTATCGCCACAAGGTGGCAGGTTAAGTCCGCTTTAGCTCTGCCAGCGACTTAAACGCTCAGGTATAAGTCTGCGTGCAAACATTATCTGCCTAGTGATACTATGTTGGCCGAATGGTTTGAGTTGCAGGTTAGGATCCGGGGGATCTGGGTTCGATTCTTGTCTGAGGCAATTTTGGTTGCACACCTTTTGGTTGCTTGTGTGCAATTACGTAACGTTATCAGCTTGTTATCTTCTTTCCTTGTCAAAAGGATTTTTTGCTCACTTCGGGCCTATCAAAACGCGGTTTAAAGTCAAAGGATTGACTCTGTAAAACACTGTACTAACTTACTGCACTGTATTGTAAGTACTGTAACAATACAATTGTATTTTACTTTATTACTTATTTTTACTTCTTATTTTTTAATAAAAACACTTCTTCTCAAAAGTTCCTTTCTGACTTCTGTGAGATTTCATAACACTTTGAAGCAACTTTTGTTAAAGTTAAACTCATCATTCTATCAATGTGCAGAAGCCAGTACTTTTCCCTTGTTTTGTCTATCTGAAGGCCAAGCTACATTGCACCGTGGAAGCTGCTGATTGGAGGTCTCCATGCCTCCGCTCTGTATAATACACTTGCATTCTGTTGTGTGTTTTGTTCGTGCTGTCTCTACCACCGACAATAAAACATGTCTTCTGTCTGAATGTAAGACGCGATCCCAGACTTTGTCATCTTCTTCAGGTGGTGGAAGGATGCGGGCCTTGTCTGTAACATCTAGTGAACAGAAGACTTTTTTTTTTACACAAAAAGTGTTTTTTTTTTCAAGCCAAAACTGGAAAACCTCAAGAGAAACCATGCATCTGGACCAGCCCATGGACAATCTGCACAGCCCCTGATTCCACTCAGGCCTGCTGTGAGCTGCTGAGACATGGACAATACCATCGTCCTCTTCAGTCTTCAGTCCTCTTCAGTCATTTTCAAGTTTTATGAAAGATCTGAACATGTTTTATGAGTTTTCTGAGTTTTTGAAGTATTCCGAGTTCTGAGTTTTTTGAAGTACCGAGTGAAGTACAATACAATACAATAAAATTTATTCTTGTATAGCCCTAGGTCACAACAGAAGTCATCTCAGAGGACTTAACAAAACCATTGAAATCACCAACACAGGTCAGAGAATCAACAGCCAAAACACATGGAGAATATAAAGCACACACAGAAGAAAATGTCCATACATGTTGTAGAATGCTAAAGTGTCCTGATCATCACCAATCCTTTCTGTTGGACACTAACTGTCCAACAAGACCCTCCTGCATCGACAAGGAAAAACTCTTAAAAAACCCAGTGGGAAAAAGTGAGAAACCTTGGGGAGCACTAGGGAAACCCACAGGGAGGGAGACCCATATGAGAAAGGGATCCGCTCCTCCGGACAGACAGGCTAATGATCTAGGACCTAAGCTAGCTACAGGACGTGGACCAGTGGCCGCTGAACGTGGACAGGTCCGGTGCAGGACCGAAGCACTCCCAGGCGGGTCGGGCGGGGCAGTCCACAGGTGCAGATGGAGGAGGCCAGGCTCAGAGATCCCGTCATCGTACCATGAAACAGACAATGGGACAATGGGTGAATAGCAATGAACAAACTACAGTCAGAATCCTAAAAGTGCTAAACAGATAAAGTAGATAAAGTAGGAAGGAGGAGAGGATAGTGCTCAAGTTACCATACTTCTCCCAGCAAACTGACTCCCTATGCAGCTTGACTGACACTCTGAGGAGTTTAGCCTTCCCTGAGTCTTACCTTCCTAGCCATATGCTAAACTAAAGAGGACTGTTTTAAACCTAGCCTTGAATAAAGAGATTCATGGATTGCACACCAGGTGTGCAAACCGATCCAAGCAAACCTAATTATATATTATATATCATATACATCATATATACCATACATACCATATATATCATATATAATACACAATATAACATACAGCATAATATATAACAAAATATACAACATAACACAATACATTATTGTATAATATATAACATAATATATAACATAATACAGCATACATATATAATATATACACCATATATTATATATTACCTAATTATATGCTAAATTAAAGTAAAGTGCTTTAAGCCTGGCCTTGAATGTGGAGACCGTATCTGCTTCCTTAACATAAATGGGAAGCTGATTCCACAGTAAAGGAGCTTGGTAGCTAAATGCTCTGCCACCAACAGTGATTTTTGAGACCTTAGGGACCACCAGACGTCTGGCGTTTTGTGAGCGTTGCGCTCGACTTGGTTGATACGACACTAACGTGTCTTGGAGATAAGAAGGAGCCAAGCCATTTATGGCTTTATATGTTAAGAGAAGGATTTTAAACTTTATTCTGTACTCCACAGGGAGCCAGTGGAGTGATTCGAGAGCACCAGCCAGACAGCCGGCGGTTGAAAGCAGAGTGTCTGCTGAATGCTTCTGCACTGCTAGTGCTAGGTAGGGGCCCAGAGAAGATGACATTGTCGGCCATTGTGCTAGCCAGCTTGCACACCGCGGCGACTTGCAGCTTCAACACCTCGGACTGTTTCCGCCGAACGTCATTACCACCCGCGTGAATAACAATTCGACGGAAACGCTGCTTGTGGGTCATCATGAGCCTCAGATTCCCTTCAATATCACCAAGCCTGGCCCCAGGGAAGCACCGAACAGTGGCTCCTGGGATCTTAACACCTCTAACAATAGAGGAGCCAATTACCAGCGCATCAGCGACTCCATCGGCTCTCTCAGCAACTCTCTCAGCGGCTCTCTCAGTGGGGCCTTCTTCCCCGCCCGGCCGCGCGGGGGCGCAGCCGGACAGAGCGTCCCAGCGATTGTAAATGCTAACAGGAGGAGGCCCAATGGGGAAACTACCAACAACACGTCGCCCTCTCCGAACAGTCACAAAGCCATCACTATCCTGGTCTTGTCCCAGCTGCGGAGGACGGGCTGGGAGGCTAGGCTCGCTAGTTCTCCTCTGCCTTTCCCTAAAGCTGCGCTCCGCTGTCCCTGAGGATACGGCCTGGCTGTAGCTAATGCTAGCGCTAGCTCGAGACTCCAGTGCTCGGAGACGCAGCTCTAACTCACTGACCCTGGATTCCAGAGCTACGACTACACTACACTTCACACATCTATCACTACCCTCAGAGAAGGATCCAGGGTTTAGACTCGCCATATGGCAACTCGAGCAGTAAAGGATTGAGGGAGAGACAGCAGCCGCCATAGGAGTAGCGAGTTAGCGGCTAGGCTAGGCTAAGCTAGTCCGGATCCGGACCCGCACAACAGACTCCGAGACCAGACAAACAACCGCTACCTAAACCTCAGCTACAGTACAGCTGACTCGGAGTGCTTACACAGTTAGCTTGGTGTACAATACGTGGATTTGTAATGTGTTTGTTAGTGCAAACAGAGAGCAGAGTGATAGTAGTCAAGAAACACTCTCACCGGATACAGGAAGTGCAACGATGAGCCTGAGTTACAGCAGCTCTACCGAGTTTATGAGTTTTGAAGTATCGAGTCATGATGTTATGTTGCTGTTTATCGATCCTGATGGTCACACAGGAATGTGTGACCAGAGGGGGGAATGTGAGATTTCATAACACTTTGAAGCAACTTTTGTTAAAGTTAAACTCATCATTCTATCAATGTGCAGAAGCCAGTACTTTTCCCTTGTTTTGTCTATCGGAAGGCCAAGCTACATTGCACCGTGGAAGCTGCTGATTGGAGGTTTCCATGCCTCCGCTCTGTATAAAGGGGCGTTCACACCGGACTTAACTTCGGCGTCAAAAGCGTCAGGTTTCCATTGAAAGTAAATGGTGAAGCGCGTCAAGTGAAGCCGAGAGCCCCGGCGTCACTTGACGCGCGTCAAAAGCTTCAAGAGTCGCGCTCACTTGAAGCTTTTGACGCGCGAAACGCTCGCGTATCACAACAATCCCTTTGACGCCGAAGCTGAGCAAAGCTGAGCTTTTGAAGCTTTGACGCGGGCTTCAACCAATCAGGAGACGAGGAGCAGCAGCAGCAGAGGGTCTGTCTCTGTCATGGAGAGAAGTCATGTATCTGCTGCTGCTGTTTTATTGTCATTATTGTTATTAGTAATATTATTTTAGTAGTAAAATTCTGAGTAATAAAAATCATTGTACACATGCTGTGTAGTAAACGTAGTTTATTTAATATAAGAACAGGCTGACGATGAGTCTGGCTCAGAGCAAGGCAGCTCCGGGCGGGCGAGAGCCGGGGAGAGGCAGGGAGAGGCGAGCGAGAGCCGGGGAGAGGCAGGGAGAGGCGAGAGCGAGGCGGGGAGAGGCGAGCTCCGGGGTTTGAGAACTCAGACTGGGCGAGTGACATGCGGAAGTACCGCTGAAAGTGAAACTCCTCCGTACGCAGCTCCTGGAGTA